TTCATTAGGAAAAGTATACAGTTTTTATCCATCATGTATCTAATTTTATACATAATTCCAATACGTTTTAAAATTTTATTTTCTAATAGATTAATATGTTCTTTCCAACTTATTTATTCATCGATTTAGACGCCAAAGAATTTAACACAGAATGTTCATTGCAACTAGGTTTTTTCTATTAAAATTTAGAAGATTTAGAAAAGAGAGTATATTTGTTTTTAGTTGTGTTTATTGGCTTTATTTAGTGTAGGTTTTGTCATAAGATATACATTGTTTGCGATTTTTAAGATAGGAACAAATCCATTTAAAATCATTATTTTTGACTCTATAACTTATAAGTTATGGAGTCAAAAATATAAGGAGCTAGAAGAAAATTATACTAACGTTTTTCAAGATTTGAGTTGATTAATTTGAAAGACCAGGAATTTGTCTTGCCCTGTGATCTAAAACTTGCAGACATTACTTGTGGGCTTCAAGCACACTCAATTGCATATCCCTGTACCTGGTGTGAATTTGGTTCAAAAGAACTTGTAAAACAAGTGAAATTAAGGAGTTTTGAATTTCTGGTAAAAAGTCTCACTCTTCAAGTGAGTAGGTTCCAATATTAAAAAAGTTCATGACTACAAAAATGTTGTTCATTCTTCAATATTTAAACTACATGATTACACTTTGGTTTTGAAGTTCCTTGGAGTTTTTAATTATCTGTTTGCTGCGCTAATTTAAGTATTTCCTCAATTGGAATGTTGCATTACACATTAACAGCCTTACCATGGTGAACATATTGCAGGAAACAATCCAAAATGCTGCTACATAATTGATAATTTTTAATCAATTACTGAAAAACACATATGCTATGCAGCTATCCCATTCATACTTTTTGAAAATTTGTGTCTGGCTGTTTTGGAACAAACCTTGATCCAAACTAGTCACAAATAATTGATGCAGAGTGTCATCATGGGTGTCATTATGGACCTTGGGTGTGTCATAAGTAACATGGACCCAAGGTCCATGCAATATTTTTCCATGTGAAAGATTTCATTGACAGACACGGCCAAGCTCTTGGGCTTTACTCAGAACAGGCAACAGAAGCGATGCATCACAACTTTCAGATAATTGGCAAAGGTACAAAAGGCCCAATTATTATTCAGAATACAGTAAGAAGTTGCAATGTTGACTTGGTTACTTCAATTATAAACATTGCTTGTGAAAAGTCAATTTAAAAAGGGATTTAAGAATGTTATTTGGAATTATTTTAAAATATCATTAAATTATTTTAGAATTTGTTCCATGTAAAAGAAACAGTTTTTTTGGGAATATACTTCATGTTTGTTACTTGTATAGCTTCAAAAAAATATCATTTTGTATTCCTTGTTTATATTAATGTAAATTAGAGAATTTTACTACTGTAAAAAGCAAAATAAGCCGTAATTTTTTTTTTTTTTTTTTTTTTTTTTTTTTAGTTTACAATGTTAGTCGTGATACAATAATACAAGTCGTGATATATAATAATATAAGTCTGATACATATATAATAATATAAGTCGTGATATGTAATAATATAAGTCTGATACATAAAAATATTTAAGACTTCTACAAGAAAAGAAAAGAAAAAAAAAAAAAAAAAAAAATGAGTATATATATATATGTATATACAATTCAGCGTACTAACAATATAAGACTAGGTTTCCGAAAGAAGATCAGAAGGATCTTATCACCGGAACCTTAAAAAAGATATAATGCAAAGATTTAACATAATGCAAATATGCAATATACTAATACAATATATCATAATGCAAATATACAATATACTAACATTTTAATACTCAATATGCTGAAGATTTGAAAAATACATTTTACATAAATTTTAAGTAGAATTTTAGAATGTTGTCCATACAGAGAATGAAGTTTTTTAATTTAGTTTTAAAAACAGGAAGAGTAGTAGAAGGGTCAAAATTTGGTAATACTATTTTATTCCAAAGATGGGGTGCACGATATGCAATACAGAATTGATTGAACTTCGTTTTACAAAATGGTTCATTTAGAAAACTATTACTTCTTAATGTGTATTTATTTATTGGTTTTAAAGAAAAAAGGTCATTGAAAACAAATAAAGATAAATCGTTTTTCCACATAAAAGTAAAACATAAAACATTAAATATGTTAAGTTTATAAACATCTAGTACATTCATATAATCAAAAAAATATTTCGAACGTGAAAAGCGATCCGCATAATTAACTACACGGATTGCATGTTTCTGACGGCGATAAAGATGTTGTAATTTACTTTTCTCCGTACTTCCCCAGGCTATGATTGCATAATTTATATAATTATGTATAAATGAATAATAGAGCTGGGTTAAGTTTTTTTTGTTTAGATAATTTCGAGCTTTGTATAAAATGCCAATATTTTTAGAAACTTTGGTGCTTATATGATCAATATGCTTTCTCCAAGTAATATTTTCATCAAGATAAACACCTAAGAATTTTATAACAGTATCTCTTTTTATTATAGTTTCATCAATGTAAATTTGAGGCATATTATTTGTTAAAAATCGTTTTTTTGCGCAGGAGTGAAAAATAATCCATTTTGTTTTGTTAATATTTAAAGTTAATTTATTAGCTTTGAACCAGTTCGAAATGTGTTTGAGTTCTTTGTTTGTAGTTGAAAAGAGTTCATAAATATCAGTATGGGATAAGAAAAGATTAGTATCATCAGCGAACATTATACTTTTCAATTTGGAAGCTTTGTTTAAATCGTTTACATAGATTAAAAATAGTAGTGGTCCGAGAATAGAGCCTTGTGGAACACCACAAGTTATGCTCAGGGGTTCACTTTGATAACCATCATTACTATACACAAGTTGCTTTCGATTTGTTAAATAGCTTTCAAGCCATTTTAAAATTTTATTGTTTAAACCATAATATTTAATTTTTTGGATTAAGATGTGGTGATCGACCGTATCAAAAGCTTTTGATAGGTCAATAATGACACCTAGTGTGTATTGAGATTTTTCAAAAGATTTAGAGATGTTATGTATAAATTGAATGATGGCATGTTCAGTTGAGCTCCCTTTTCTGAAACCATACTGATTGTTATATAATAAATTGTTGTAATTAAAATAATTGTATACTCTATTGAAAATAATTCTTTCTAAAATTTTAGAAAATATAGAAAGAACAGAGATAGGGCGATAATTATTGATATTGGATCTGTCGCCTTCTTTATGGAGAGGGGTAACTCTGGCAAGTTTTAAACGTTCAGGAAAAATACCTTGATGAATAGATGCTCTGAAAATTTTGAAAAGAATATTTTTTAATTGTTCATAGCAATCTATAACAATGTTCCCGTTTATTTCATCTGCACCAGGTGCTTTATTTTTTTTTAAAGATTTAAAAGCTTTCTCAAACTCATCAAATGATAGTTCAGCAGATAATTCTTCAGAGGAAATATTTTTATCAAAAGGTAACAAAAAATCATAAAATGAGGTCTGAGTTTTTTGTATTTTACTTGATAAGATTGATCCAATTTCAGTAAAATATTTATTGAATTCATGAGCTATTATTTGTTGCTCATGCAAGCTATTGTTATCGACTTTAAGCATTTGTGGCAAAGAGCTTGAGCATGTTTTTTGTTTTCCTGTAATTTCTTTTAATATTTGCCAAGTGCGTTTTGAGTCATTTTTAGCTTTAGTAATTAATTTTGATTAGTAATTTTTTTTTAATTTTTTTCGGATTTTTTCGAATAGATTTTTGTAATCTTTGTAAATTTTTTCGCTATCTGGTGTTTTTGTTTTTAGATATTTTATGTATAGCCTTTGTTTAGTTTTGGATGATTTTTTGAACCCCTTGGTAATCCAGGGATTATCAAAGTGTTTTGTTTTTAATGTAATTGTAACAATTGGAAATTAGACTCATAAACAGAGATAAAAGTTTCATAGAATTTTTCATAAAGGTTGTTTGCATTTTCATTAAAATTTAAGTGTTTCCAATGTAATAATGAGAGCTGATTTTTAAAGGCCTCAATGTTTGATGATGTATAAAAACGTTTTTTTACAATTTTATTTAATTTTTGTTTAGGCAGTTGGTCGGTGTTTATAGTTAGAAAAATAGGAAAGTGGTCCGAAATATCCGTTTTTAAGATACCCAATTTTATATCATTGTTGAATAAGTCTGTGGTAATGATATTATCCAGCAAAGTTGCTGAATTTTTTGTTATTCTTGTTGGGCGATTTATTAAAGGGATTGCTCCAGATTCAAAAATTGTATCATAAAAATTTTTAACTTTGTTATCGTCATTGTAGACAAAACAATTCATATTAAAATCACCAACAAGAAAGTTTTTTTTCTTTTCGTTGTTACCTTTTGCAATAACATTTTGCTGTAAAAACATGCTCAAGTTCTCGCTCACGCCATCTGGCGGTCGATAACAACAGCTAACTAAAATATTTTTTGTTCGTTCATTAATAATCTCAATTGTTAATATTTCTCCATCGCCGTCAGAAACACTAAGATCATTTCTACAACAATGCTTTATATCTTTATGAATGTAAATTAGAACTCCACCACCGCGCTTATTTATTTGTCTTTCGAGAGAGATCATTTCAAAATGAGAAAGATAAAAATTAAAATTTTTTTTTATGTCGTTTGAGGTTGCCCAAGTTTCAGTTAAGCAAATAATATTAAAAAAGTACTTAGTTTCCTCGAGTAAATTTTGGAATTTTTCAAAATTACAATTAATGCTTCTGATATTTACATGCAGAATTCTAATTTGATCATTGTTAACATTCTTAAATAGAATTCCTTTTAATTCATTTGGATAGTAGTAAGAACATTCTATTTTTGTATCATGGAAATAATTAATATCTGGGTCGGAGTTTTCGTGTAGTGAAAAAAATTTTGTTTCAAAAAAATTGAAGACAAGAGTTTCAAAGTCACTTATTAAAGCCATGATTAATTATCACAAATAAATTAACAAGGAGTTCTTATTAAGAATGAGCGCATTTACTTTCGAAATTCTCTAGAAACAATTTTGTCATACTTTATAACTGCATACTTACCTTCAAGTCGCAACTTTTTGACCTCTTCCCACAACATCCTTCGGCTTTCCATCGTTTCTTTAGCGAAATCCTCATTAACATATATCCCAGTTCCTCGCAAGTTTTTTGTAGCGTTAAGTATTTTTGTTTTGTCTTGAAAATTTAATAACTTTAGGACAATCGTTCTTGGTTTCTTATCTTCTTTAGGTTGGCCTATTCTATGAGCTCTTTCTATGATAATTTCATTACTAATTTTTAGTTGTTTTTTAAACATTTCCTTTACTGCATTTTCGCACTCATTCCAATTTTCATTTGGCTTTTCAAATATTCCATCTAATCTTAGGTTGTTTCTTCGAGATCGATTCTCCAAATCTAGTGTCTTCTTATTTAAGTTGTTTATCTCCTTTTCGTAACGCTTCGTGATCTTATTTATTTTTTCCATAATAGTTGTTTCTTGGAAGTTAAGACTTTCTTTAAAATCGCGAAGGTCGTTTTCTATGCTTAAGACTTTGGATTTCGCATGTTATGCAATCAATAAAGTATGAAAATTTAAATAACTTGCCAGAACATTGTAATCTTATTTCCATACTTATACCTAAGTGATTCCCATATTGTGGACTATCATTCCACCAAAGGGTTACTCCTGGTCAGAAAGTTAAGGCTAAAACCTGTTTTATAACACTGTGTCTTACCCTATTAGTATTATTATATAAAAAAATCGAGCGTGACTGAAGAGTATCTTTTTAAGCTAACATCACGATTGCCTGGTTTTCTCAGAAAATGGTTCTTGAGTAAAAAAAATTAAGTTTAAACATAAGTTTAAATAAAGTTTCAATGAAAAAAAATAATTTCTTAGGTTACTTTCAAATTATTATAACACACAATTAAAAAAATAACACAAAATTAAAAAAATAATTTAACAACCTCCCATAATATTGCTTTAATGTAACTTACTTAAAAAAAATTTCAATTAAAAAAAAAATTAGTTTTTATTTGTTTTACAACGTATTTTGAGTTAGTCATCGTCACATGAATTGATATTTTACACACTCACATTCAGAATTCATTTAACAGATTGAGCAGCCGTGATGTAGTGGTAGAGCACTTGCCTCAGAAGAAAAGGATCCGCGGTTCAAACCCCACCTCTAGGCAAGTTTTGCGACATCGTTTAAAAAGGAAGCGTGAACTTCCAATTAAATGCTCATCCGCGGTGCTCTGTGATAAGACCGTAAGGACCTTTTGGGGCACCTAAATAAAATAGGGAGAAAAAATATACGATTTTTTAAATGTGTAACTAAATGATGAGTCGTGTTCACATATCCCTTAAATGTAAACTTTTTTTTTGACGTTTTATAGAAATGGAAACCAAAAAATGAAGATTAATAAATCATCAACAGAAACCCATATGTTAAATGAATTCAATAGATACTTGATCAATGATCAAAAACTGAAAATTTCAGACCCAACGGTCAAAGTTAAGTAAAAGTGAATAAATGTGAACTGAGAACAATTGAAAACTTTGAAATGTATCCATAACTATATATAAATATATCCATAAAATTCATAAATATATCCATAGCATTTTTTTTTATTGACATAAGAAACATTACTGCCATTACGCTGCTTGATTTTCATATCATCTAGGAAAACATAGAAGTCATATCAGACATGCAAGGGTTAAAAACTGCAAAAAAACTAAGCTTTTTTTCTTAGAAAAAATACCCTAGAATTCAAGTTTAAATTTTAATCTCTAAAGAGGCAGTACAAGGCTCATATCCCAAGATGGATACATTATTTGGATCTGAGACTTTGGATAAACGTTCTTTAATAAATTTTTTTTTTTTGTTGGTGTTGCACTAGTAATTTTGTAATACCATCAGAATATTAAAAAACTATAAAAAACAGTTAATTTTAATATTGCACCACTTATAAACCATTTTTTTAGCTATATTTTAATCACATTTTTTAGTGTTCTAATTCCTTGTAGAACGATTTTGTACTTTTCTTTCAATATCAATTCTAGTTGATAAATAGATTGATCAAAGCTTCAAAAAACTCATTTCAATTTTTGTCCTTTTTTTTTTCCTCACGAAAACAGCTACACTCATTTAAATTTTTTCCTCACAAAAACTACCCATGGAAATGGGTAGTTTTTGTGATGGTTTGATATCAAGAAGTTCTTTGAAGAATGGTTCGATATCAAGAAGTTCTTTAAAGGAGTTATTTAAACTATTTTTTCAAGCTTTTTAATAGTTCTGTGAAGGAGTTCTACCAAAATAATTTTTTTTCAATCATGTTTATCAATAACATTAGATTTTAATTTTAATAACATAAGGTTTTAATTTCAAATTCTTTTTTTAATGTTATATCTTCACAACTTTTTGTTTCTTCCATTGTTTTTGATTAAAAAGAAATCAACAAGCATAAATTTTTTTTTTTTAAACTTTCAAAAATGCTTTATTTGTACTCTATTAAGCATATTAGTAAATTTTATAAAAATATTCGACCATTTTTTTTTAATTTTATAACAAACTTAATAAAAAATTTAATTAGACAGCACAAAAGAAGTCAATATTTAATATCAGGGTTTCATTGAATATCCAAAATATTAAAAAATATTTTTTTCCTGAATTTTTATATTATTCACAAAAAAACCCGATGAGAAGATTCATTAGGCAACTTAAAAAACTGGTTTGGTAGGTAACTAAAGACTTAATTAACACTTTATATTTAGTAAGAATAATAAAACGTAAAACGCGTAAAAATACCTTAGTATATCGTTATTATATAGGGATTTTATAAAAAATGAAACCCATTGTTTTAATAACGTAACTCAAAAATTTATAAATAAAAGCCTATATATATATATATATATATATATATATATATATATATATATATATATATATATATATATATATATATATATATATATATATATATATATATATATATGTATATATATATATATATATATATATATATATATATATATATATATATATATACATATATATATATATATATATATATATATATATATATATATATATATATATATATATATATATATATATATATATATATATATATATATATATATATATATATATATATATATATATATATGTATATATATATATATATACATACAAATATTACAAAACAAATATACTTATAAAAAAGACAAAAACAAAAAAAAAACATAAATTATCCTCAACCACCATCCGTCACCTCTATTAAGTTTTTATATAAATAAATTGATATTTTATGTAAAAACTGTATTTATTAAAACTAAATTTTTTTTAACTATTTTCATATAAATTGTCTTTTTTTAATCTTTTTTAATTTATAACAAAATGTAAAAATAAAGTAAATATTCACAAATAAATCACAGCGTAACTAATAAAGAAGTGGAGGAAGCACGGCACGCTCTCCAACACCTTCACACATGTCATAAACAGCTTGACAGACTAAGCCACAAACTCTCTCAGTAATATTCTGGTAAAAAAAACAAACATTTAAAATTAAACGATTTTGAGGAAATACAACCATACCCTGTGACAAACATTTATTAGATATCATTACCAAAGTATGAGCTTCGACATAAACTCGAACAACATCTTCAGTTCCTGAAGGCCTGAAATAATTTATGCTATTAAACATATTTTGAGATATATTACATTCAACTAATAGAAATATATATTTTAAAAACCATTAAAATTAAAATCCTAAAATGACCTTATTGTCCTTATAAACCATCTAAAATTAACACCATCAGTATAAAAAAAAAAAAAAGAGATGCAATGATTGTGTAAAATATCATCTGAAAAATTTTCCCAACAATTTTTAAACATGAAGCATATAGAGCACATAAAATTTTCCCATCAATTGGCAAGTAAATATGAAGCATATAGAGAGATATTGAACAATCTGATTGATATTTTAGCTCAACTTATAAAAGGGAAGGTTGCCGAAGTGACCTTGTTATCAGTGTAATATTTTTTCCTGCCAATGTATATATAAAAAAAAGATTTATATTTTTTGAAGATTATAGTTATATACATCGGAACTCTGTACCTTTTAACTATGAACTGTACCTCTTAACTATGAACTGTACCTCTTAACTATGAACTGTACCTCTTAACTATGAACTGTACCTCTTAACTATGAACTGTACCTCTTAACTATGAACTGTACCTCTTAACTATGAACTGTACCTCTTAACAGCAACATTACTTTATTTTAAAAAATTTTCATTAATTTCTATTCATGCAAATTTCATGACAAAAATCAGTGTGATAATTAAACTAAAATATTACCTAACAAATGAACGGCAGTTAGGCCAACATTTAACAATTTCATCAATCTTTTGCTGAAGTTCTTTTGGCTCAATTAAACGAGTTTCGTCATGGTTTACAGTTAATATGCGGCGATCTTTTACCTAAAACACAAGATATTCACTTTCTCAAAAAAAAAAAAATTACAACTAATAATTTAGTTGTAATTTTTTTTTTTTGAAAACCCAACTCTTTTTTTAAAAATAGAGTTGGGTTCTAATAAAAATTACAACTAGTAACCTTTTTTGCTTCATTTTAATAAAAAAGGTTCTAATAAACAACTATAATAAAATTTATAAGCAATTATAACAAAACACAAGCAAAACCCCCTAAATATCCATGAAAAATACTGAAAAATCTTTGTTTAACTTTGTTTATAAAAGCAAACCATTTTAATTTGTCAAACCTAATATATAGCATAGCACATAGTATTAATTTTTATTACAAAAGGTTACTGATGATAAGATCTTATCTTCTTCAGGTTCTCCGGTCTCGTAACTATTATAAATAATGAAATGTACTTGTATTTAATATTTTTAAATATTTATCGGAAATTACCTTTAACTGTAAATGGTTGCTTGACAAAAATAAATAAAATAAAAAAATATAGTATAGCACAGCAACATAGTTGTTATAACAATAACAATTATAACAATGATATTATCAATTATATTGACAATTGTAACAATGATATTATCTTCAAGGAAAAAAAATCAAACTTTACAATAGCAACAGTTTCAATTCAACAACAAAAAATCAATCATAAAAAATTATCAAAAAAATGTGTTACTATAATAGTTTTAATTGAATTTCTGTTTTATTGTATTCATTCAGCTTTTAAACTGGATAATGCATATCAGAATTTTCCTGCTCCTAGGTAAGTTGTCTTCATTAATTCTGAAGAGCCTCACTTGCTTCAAATAGATATTGCTGACTAAAAGATGAAATGATGAACTGTGTATGAACTATATGTGTAACTATTGGGTTGAAATAAGCAATTTTTCTAAATATTCCTAGAATAACTAGGAACTTTGAGAGACATGAGCTGGAATAACTCAGTTGGTTAAAGCGCTGCTAAAAAAATTGGAATAACTATTGGCTGTAGCAGCAGGATTGCAGGTTCAAATCCCGACTTCGCCTAGTCAGCATACGAGTAGTGCTTCAGTACAAAGAGAACTCATCTTGATTAGCTCTGCTATTATGACGTTTTCTTCTCGACTAGTACATAAATAATCTATTTGAGTAAATAAAAAATATCTTCCATGAAACGACCTATTAAATTATAATAATGAAACAACCTATTAAATTACAATAGCAAAATAAAAATTTGCAACTTCTGTCTTTTTGAAAAATGGATGACATTAAAGATCATTTGGGACACTGACATTAAAGACCATGTATGTCTGCTCTATGACCTGAAGTTAATTTAAGATATTAAGATCAACCAAGATCTGGAGGACCAATGGAATTTGATTTAAATCATTTAAAGCAGCTGATCAAAAGCCGCCCAAGATTATCTACACACTGATTACCACTTGCACAAAATAAAAAAGACCTCAAATTTCAGTGTTTGAATGTCAAACAAGCTTAACGTTACACAGCTAGGTCGGCAAGACACCTACACAGATATCATATTTTACATAACTTGTTTACTTGGCTGATATATATTTGGCATACTTATAAATGGCTATATACATACTCTTTATGCCTTTTCTTTTTGTCTTTTACCTCTTCATATCTTTTACCTCTTTTAATGTGGGCAGCTTGTAAACGGGTGACAGCTTGTAAACGTTGGAAGGAAATCTTTTAAATGGTACTCTCACAATAAATATATTCAGCCCTAATGTGCAAAAACAATTTTTCCTAAAAGGGATCTTGTAATTAACTCTTCTGGAAACCAAATCCATTCATAAATACATAAAATCTATTGATAAATTAGCATTTGCAGTCCGAAAACCAAAAAATGTGTATTACTTAAAAATTATTGAAATCTAGGAAATCCAGAACAAATAATTTTCATCTGAATCATTAAAAATAAAATAAATATCTAAAGTTTGTGTTTGATTGGTTAATAGCAATTAAAAGTATTGCATATGTACTTATACATATATATATATATATATATATATATATATATATATATATATATATATATATATATATATATATATATATATATATATATATATATATATATACATTTCCAAAGAAGAGACATAAAGAAACCCAACTTACCAGCACTTTTCCCAGCTTGTTTGGTAAGTCTTGATACTCGTTGTCCCATTCGATACAACTCCACTATTATTTAAGCATGATATGTATGTTTATACATTTTTCAAATAAAATACAAAATTAAAAAATAATAAATTTTATAAATATCATAATAAATTGGGTAAAATTTTTAAAAAGAATAGAAACCTGCTTTTCATGTAAAATTGATTCAACCAAAAGCATGTCTGAAATAGCATCACCAACAGTCTATAAAAAAACAAAAATACCTGTATAATACACCTGAACAAGGATGAAATAACCTTTTTTAAGTTTAAAATTTTAGAACTATAAGTGTTGCATGATTTCAATATATACTAAATCCCAGATTCTTAAACAAACACTAAGTAATGAATAAATGAAAACTAATAGAAACACTATTAATAATAATAATAATAATAATAATAATAATAATAATAATAATAATAATAATAATAATAATAGCAATAATAATAATAATAATAAAAGCTGTTGTTTTGTTAAACAAAAGTTTTAAGTGACATAATAATAAAACAAAATCAAATTGAGATCTAATCTGCTGTGGCAAGATCTTCTCATATTATAATAACGAATTTTTGTTTTTTCAAGTAGTTGAAAATATAGTTCTTAATTATATCAATTAATTATATATTATATTATTATATTAATTATATTTACACTATGTTCTATAATTATTATAATTATAACTGTATAATTAATTTTAATTTTATTACTAATTTATAAATACTTCAATAAAATATATATATATGTCAAAATATTACAATTGTATATTAAAACAGTTTATTAAATTAACGGCAAAGCAAAAGCTGCCTTACTATTGAATATCATATTATAACTCACCTGATTAGTAAGTTCCATAAATGCATTTAATTTATTTACTGCTTCTTTCTGTTTATCACTAAAATACACTGTTAAGCATTAAGAATCAAATAAAAAATCTTAAAATATGTTAAGCAAGAAAAATTGCTTTTGATAATAAAACATTTTATATTAATATGACTAATAAATATTTTA